GGTGTTGAGTAGTTAGGTGGCTCTCGGGCTTAATGAGTTAATAAACAAGCATTTTATAAATATTTCCCTAAATTACACAACACTTTAACATTATTAATGCTAAGTAGTTGAATAAGTTTAAATACTGATGGACATTTATAATAATATGGCTCAATACACATTATTCTATAGTTATGATATGATGGACATTTTAATATAAAGTGTAGTTCATCTTCATATCATCTTTACACATTTTCGATTTACAAGATTTATGTTTTCATACCTACCAGTTCCTATTGCTAAATTATTGGAACTGAGTCTGAAGTTAGATAAGTACTTCCTACAAAGATATGGAATAGATTTACATAAATAATATTGAAGCGTACACTGGTTAAACATATTTTTATAAATTGCACATTTCGATGAGTTGGACAGCTGACTTAAGATTAACTGAATAGCCTGGTCATTTATTCTTTGTTTTATAACTATTAGATAATCTAGTGGTAATTCCTGCCGTAACCATATTTCACTTAATCCAATATTCGACAAAATATATTTCACCTGATACGCCCAGTTTTTTAACACCAGGGGTCTCCACCTCCTCATACAAATACTCATAACAACCCCGTAAAATACTATTTTCAGACACCAAGCTTACACCAATATTTAATCATGATATATTGCCTTTTAAATGCGAGCGGATAACGGCCTAATTCGGCATAAACCATGGAATTGCACATTGATTTCTTAACTTCTAATAACTTTCTACAAAACTCCAAATGCAACCTTTCAATATTTAAGCCTTTGTTATATCCCAATATCTCAGACGCATAAGCTAGTATACTGCCAACATAACAATCAAAGACATAAAAGAGATTCCAGGTTGAGAGAGAGCGACATGATATTACTGTAAATTGAAAAGAGGGCCTTCGTACCCTGGTCAGACAACTGCAGCTGTGCCTTTGAGAATCGGTTATTATAATTAAAGACTATTCCTAAATATGTAAACGTATCGACAACCTCTAGGACACAACCATTATATAACCCATGTTCTGACGATTTAACTTTACCACCTCTTCTAAAGACCATTATCTTTGGTTTAGCAATATTTACTTCAAGTTCCCACCGTTTGGAATAAGCTGACAGCGAATTCAACTGTGTTTGCAATCTTTCAACAGATTCAGAAAATATTACAAGATCATAAGCAGAAACATATCTAAAGATTTAAACTGGTAAGGTATACATATATCTTTTAGGAAAGACTCCTCAAAATCACTGACATAGAAAGAAAATAAAATTGGCGATAATACTTCTCCCTGCATTAGGCCCAAACTATTCTGAAATACTGACTATCATAACCACCGATCCTCACACATGACCTTACATTAAACATTTAACGAATGAATAGCTGATAAAAGCTTCCCTCTAACGCCCACTTTTGCTAATTTATACCATAATTTACACCTATCTACTGAATCAAAAGCACGTTTGAAATCCACAAATGCACAATACAACAGTTTTTTACTGTTCAAGGTACGACTAATCACTGCATGGAACTATAGCATCAACTGTGCTGAGATGAGGGCGGAAACCAACCTGAGCATCCGGAATAGAGTCATGTTCCTCGGCCCAATTAAGAAGCCTCTGATTTAGTACTCTCGTCAACAACTTTCCAAAACAACTAATAAGACTTGTTCCCCTATAATTACTAGGAGCTCTGGCATCACCTTTCTTGAAAACTGGATTAATTAAAGCTGAAGCCCAGCTTTGGGGGAAGAACCCTGTGGATAGAACGCAATTAAATATTTTGTGTACAATAGGCAGTAAATAACAATCAAATTCAATCAAATATTCATTTATAATGCAATCAAGTCCATGAGATTTATCCCGTTTCAAACCGTTTATCGCTTGCTTTATTTCAATCAATGTTATTTCATTATCAAGTTCTGATACCACATTTGAGTCATTCAGGTTAGAGTCAGTAGCAGAGATATTTTCGTCATTACCTGCAATGTTTTTAAAATGTGCATACATTTCAGATAGGGGAATGTCAATGTTTGTCTTCTTCCGTTTCGAAAACATTGCATGAAATTGTTTCGGGTTAATTCTTTTCAACTGCTCGAGTCTACTGCCCCCAGATTTTAGATACCGTCGTTTATATTTCTTTTCTAATGTTTTATATGTCTTCTTCTCCATAAGTAATTCAGCGTGGTTATAATATGTTTTACTGCGATTAAATTTATCAAGTGAACGAACATAGTCCATGTAGCATGTTTTCAGAGAGTCATCAAACCACGGTTTATCACCGATCCGGACCGGGGCACGTGGTTTGCTGATGTCTCAGCGATTGTGTGTGTGGTTGTTGTTGATGTCACGTGACCCTTGTCTATTGCATGTTTTGAAGAACGGTGACATAACATCAGTAAGGATTGTTGTGAAGTTGTCGATACTCTTGCCCATGCACGGTTGTGATGTAATATTATCTTCAATAAAAGAGCTTTCCAATCGGTCGATGTTAGAAAGTAGCGCTAACTTAGGGCCTGTTCGATTATTGCGAAACTGGTTTTGGTGTCTGAAACTGGTTTCTCCTGTTATATACGAGTGTCTAGTTTCGGATATATGGTTTCAAAGTGAAACTAGTTTCTAGTTTTATAAACGAGTGGATGGTTTCACCATCCGGTTTCAAAATCGATACAAACTAAATGTTTCAGCTAGTATATACTAAGCAGCAAAAGAAACGTCAGTTTGTAATTGTCCTTCGCAGAAACGGATAACTCTAAACTCATTTAATGTTTTGATTGTATATTTTTGACAACATCTCCAACTTTACCTGACCAAAGACATTCCTTCCCAAACTCGGAATGGAACCGAGGAAATGGTCTCAAAAACGCAACCTGATCTCGGAGATGGTACGGTGTTCTCTATGTTTTTCATGCAACTCATGCTGCACGTGCTATTCACAAGAACCAGCCCTATAAAATGCACCCCAAACCTGGTTGAAACATTCACATTACAACGTCAGCAGGGTGCCCCTTCTCACGACAGCTCAGAGGAACCAGGCGCTAGAAAGACTTGAAGCTGGCCACACTGCACAAGCCGTTGCCAATCACTTCCAGGTTAACGTTCTGACCATCTACAGGCTGCAGCAACGTTTCCGGGCCACCAACACCACAAATGATCGCCCCCGTACTGGCAGACCAATGGTGACCAAACGACGACAAGACCGCCATGTTGTGCGACAGCATGTACAGAATCCCTTCATGCAGGCATCCGAAACAGCACGCCAGACAGTGGGAACACACGGAAGACCAATCAGTACTGAATACAGTACGCCGACGTATTAACAGCGCGAACCTCCATTGCCGTAGACCTTACCGGGGACCTATCCTCACCCCTCGTCATCGGCGTGAACGTCTGCTGTTTGCCCTACAACACCAAAACTGGCGATACAGGCAATGGAGAACTGTTCTGTTCACAGATGAGAGTCGGTACTGCGTATCAACTGCAGATGGCAGAACAAGAAAATGGCGATGACGTGGCCAGCGTTACTCAGACCAATGGGTTAATGAAAGAGACTCATTGGGAGGTGCAAGCATCATGGAATGGGGTGGAATAGGCCTGAACCAGTGAGTAGGTCCTGTGGTTATCCGGAACCTTGGTCCAGGGAGAGGAGGCGGAATCACAGAGGTGCACTACATCGACCAAGCTCTCAGACCCCATGTCATACCACATTTCGCACGTCACCGGAACAAGATTTTCCAGCATGGTAACGCCAGGGCCCATACTGCCAGGGCTACACGGGACTTCCTACAGCAGAACGGTGTCAACATTATGCAGTGGCCAGCCCTTAGTCCTGATTTAAAACCGGTTGAACATCTTTGGGATGAAATTCAGAGGAGACTGAATCATGTCATACCAAGGCCGAACACAGCTGATTTATTGCGCCAGGCCTTTCTCAGAGTGTTGTTCAAGGTGCCAATGGCCTTCATCAATCGATTGGGGCACTCCATGCATAGACGTTGTGCTTCAGTCATTGCCGCTCGTGGTGGTCACATTAGATACTGAAGTCAAGAGTCTGAATGAACTGCAAACGTTCACGTAATGTCTTGAAATTGTGCTGAGTTATTCACTGATGTGTGAAGATATTGTACACAAAAAATATTTTTGATCGCCTTTTTATGTCCATTTCTGTAATGATTTGATTACAGTGCCTCTTTAATTTTGAATTCGTACTGACGTATTTTTTGCTGCTGAGTATATACGAATTGAATGACAGCATTGCCAAAGGTAATATTTTTAGGTCATTTTATCAGGGAATTAACAAATAATAAAGAGATGAGATGCTTTTGGAAGTAAATATTTGCGTATATGTAATTATTCTGTTACAAGTAATTATATATATACAAGTTACATAAAATAGTCATGTTCAATAAACTGGGGTTTTAAATAATATTTTCCTAGTTCTCATTGATTTTTATCATTATTTTGGTTACAGAAACTGCTGCTCTATTTTGCCACCAATATCTTTTCCGCCATGTTTGTTGTAAGAGAACGCGAAACTGAAACTGCGAAACCTGCCTCGGAGATGGTTTCGAAGTTTCAGATCCCAGTTTTAGGTTTCGACATAAACGAGTGCATGGTTTTCCAGAAACCAAAACCGGTTTAGCATAATCGAATAGGCCCTTACTCTCCGTTACGAATTCGGCACGCCAGCGGTGATTGACATAAGACTGACCTTGAACTTGATTGGTGGTGTCCACTTCAGGTGTAGGTCGGAGTCTTGTTGACATTACGACATGTAACGGTGCGTGGTCCGAAAAAGTGGTGAAATTGCTTATTATAAATGACGGAAACATTTCGAATATGGCTGGATCACATATTAGATAGTCAATTACAGACAAACCTCGATAACAATTATAAGTAAAATCATTTGCCATGTTATTGGGGTGTCTTCCATTCTTTGTCCAGATGTTTTCCACAGCATTAACAGTTTATTACCAAATTCGTTGTGGCCATTATACGGATTGACACGGGCTCGCACTTCCGAGTCACTAGTGTAGGATGCTATGTTTACTAGTTGATCTGTTACAGTGGAGGGTAGGTTGTCATCTGTAATGTAATCAGGTTTGGACTGGGTCCAACTGGTAAAGTCTTCCACTAAGAATACTTTACCAATTGCCATATAGTTTGCTATTTGATCCTCAATTTCCTGGAAAAGATCACAATCATAGTGCTTATAGAAGGTTGATCCTGGAGGTGGTAGATACACAAGTGCACAATACACTTCTTCATTACACACAGTTATGGACCTGTTGAATTTAAGCCACACAACTGAATCATCTCTGTAACTGTGATCACGTTGCACAATAAGTCTTTGATCAACACTATAATTCCACCTCCTTGTTTTGATTTTGTTTTTCTTCTGGGCACTACATATGACTTGTAACCAGGTACGTCGAGTTTAAAAGAGTTATCGATCCAGCATTCAGACAGAAAGACAATATCATATGTGTGAAGAGAATTACTGAATGCTTTATGATTCCATTTATTTTGAAAACCACCATTAATGTTCCAGGAAATTAAATTTATCGTCTGGGATAGTACATCCTCCAGAGACTCCTGTCTGGCAGGGCTCTCAGCCGGTCCCAGATGTAACTTGCCATCAATGTACAACTTGTCTCGAACCAAGACAGCCTTCTTATTTTGAGCCTTGGCTTTCTTAAAAGTAGGCATCAACGCTTTTCTTCTATCTTGTATTTCTTTTGGGAATTGTTCTGATATGGATAAATTAGTGTTCTTGAGTTTCTCACTATTTTTTCTGACCATTTCTCTCTGTTGAAAGATGCGACATTTGGCTACTATAGGTCTGGTTTTACCAGTCTGTGCTCTGCCGATCCTGTGGGCCCTGTCTAGCTCCAGTGTGTCGGTTAGCTCCAGCTGTTCTGCAGAGAGCCGCTGTATCGTGGACACACAGTCCTCTACTCCCCCCCCCCTCCTGCACACTGAAGAACAGCAAATTATCCCTCATGGATCTGCACTTGAGATCTATCACCTCATCTTTCAGTTTTGCATTTGAGGTTTTTGTTTCTTCTACAGTTTTCTTTAAGTCCATAATGCCTGCATCCAAATTTGAGAAATGTGTTTCACTTTTTTCTTTATTTTCTTCCAAAAGTGAGCTTAAAAGTTGCTGGCTAATTTCCACTTCATTCATTCTCCCTTCAACTGTTTTCATTTCATCTTTAAGTTGGTTGACCGAATGTTCTATAACATCTAATTTCTGCAGTCTTTTACAGATATCATCCATCTTATGTACCAACTCCTGTGCCCAGGGTGGGGGATCGGGCGGGAAGGGATTATGCATGTGATGGCTTGGGCCCTGATTAGATGTATATCTTTGTTGGAATTGTGCTCCATAGTGCATGCCATGCGGAGAGAAGGTATCGTACTGCGTGTTATTTACAGAAGAAGAAGAAGAAGAAGAAGAAGAAGAAGAAGAAGAAGAAGAAGAAGAAGAAGATAGATATTGGATTTATTGTGTGACATGCTAATATGCGGTGCATGATGACACGATTAAAACATTTACATAACATCCGGCCATTTGGCCTATGAGACATATATGACAGTAAAAACATTTAAGATATATAAAAATGTATATTGCACATACATCACGATTCTTGCACACATAAGTACATTCATGCATGCGTCAAACTCACCCACACACTCACCCTTCTATCCTCACACCCACCCACACTCACAACCACCACCCAGACACACACCCACCCCAACCCCGTACTAATAGATATTTAATCTCCTCCTGTACATGCGGTAGACAAGAGCGGCAAGAGGTTTAACAAATGCTATGGGTTGCAGCATAAACACAGTCTGCTGAACGGCAGGCAGCAGCGATAAAAGCAGAGTCTAGCTGATTCAACTCCATGAGAAAACTGTAACGCAAATCTGAATAGAATGGGCAACTGATCAAAAAATGAATCTCATCCTCCACTGAGTGGGAGTCACAGAACTTACATAACCGATGTTCCAGAGGTGTCTTAGGTCGAGTGAACCTGCCACGTTCAACTTCTAAGGGGAGAGAACTACAGCGCAGCGTACGGTTCAGCCACCAGAGAACTTTTGAAAGGTCTATACGTTCGTAGTTTATTTCCATTCAACTGTCCACGATCATTCCATAATTCTCTAAACCATTCTTGTTCGTCAAGAGATTGAATCCACTCACAAGATAATTTAACATCAAGCCCTGTCATGTTATAGATGTCATGAACTGGAAGCTGTAATTTAGAAAGTAAGTCATAGACAGTTATTTACATTGTGTCTGAGCTTGCCTGTGTCTGAGTACCATCAAGGGAGAGCTTCGAGCTCACTGTATGATGTGGTGGGAGCCCACCCGACGTCGCCATGTTGTCAATACCAGGTGAATCTTCGCCCTGGCTGTCAATCTTTTTCTTCCGTGGTTTAGACTATTTACGGGGAGGTTTTCCTCCGGTTTCACGGTTCATTTGTATGAATGATACACAAGCATCATTTCAAGCCAAAAATTACCTTGAAGTTCAGCCTTTTCAGTCTTAACCAGAAAAAAAATCCCGGAGCTGTTCAGCCCAGCCACCTGTACCTGTATTCACATTCATTGGAAGCTATACATGCGTCAAGCGTCTTAAGTGACAACATTCGGAACAAAACGAAGTTGCGATGTTTATTGAAACTGTATATAATCTCTTACGAGAACTTATCTACAGCAGTGCAAAATTCGTGACCAGTCCAGTTCAGACAGGACTGGACAGCTTTGATGGTTGCACAGGGGTTTAAATGTGTTGAGAGGAAACCGAAAAGCAAAACACTCGATGTTATGAAAAGGTCATAGGATTATATCAATATATAATAGTGACAAAACCGTTTCCATTATCATAAGTGCTTACGTACATACCGGGTAAGGATAGCGTGATTGCCAGTAGTGGGCAGTGAACCTACTTAGTGCTTGACTATCCTCTTGTCTGAACGGCACTTGCCGTTGATGCCAAGAGAATTGGGCAAGCAGTGAGGATGACCAAACGTTCACGAAGGGGTTGTAAGAATTCCAACTGGTTGACATCCTTATTTACGCGTTCACTGAAGCTTAGAGTAATTGCATCTTAAAGGGGCACTGATCCAGAGCGATTAATGTTTCCAGCCAACAGTCTAATTACGAAACCTAGCTGCAAACTGGTCAGCTCCTGCTCCCTCGACCGTGACGGACACTGGGACTGGGCTACTGTCCACCTTGGCAGAATTTCTTCAACCTATTTAGTGGGACATTAGGAAGGGTGGATGCCCATCAGATGCCGTTATTTGAAAATATCCCCGGTAGTTTTTCACTTAGGTACTTAGGTATATACACTTTTTAACTAAGTACACAGTAAATGCTTATATATATTTCTTATGTAACAATGAAGTTCTATACGTTCGTATCCTCAAAACAGTGTCGGCCCATAAGGTTTCTTTTCAGACAATCAAACGTACATGCTACTCTCTTGCTGTAACCCTTGTTTGGTGTTAAACCTACACATGTTATTTGTCATCATTCACTTGATGGTCAGTTAATGAATTTATAACAGGTATAATTAGTGATAACACCACTCAGATTACCCGACAAAGGTACCCATTTGACAATTTTGTGTCTGGAGTAAACACTCATCATTATTAATTGAGGTCTGATGTGGCATATGTATTACATCTTATGTAATATGCGCATAGCAGTGCAGCAAGAGGAATTATCAGCTGAGTTTCAAAACAAACATCGATCAAAGGATTAACCGATAACACGCTGATTGATTAATTGCTTTTATCCTGCACAGCGGATTTGTCAAAAGGTAGTGTTTATATATGTAGATTTACTTATGTATACACCCTGTCGTAAAGTCTCTTTGTAAAAACAACGTCCTTCATTCAAAGGATTTACCGCCAATACATTGATTGATTCCTAAGTATTGGCTAAATAATTACTTTTTAAAGAATGGCGAACATCATGCAATTAGTTGCTATCTTGGGTGACCAATGGGATACACCAATGTGAAAAACCTGAAACGATAGATCACTTTTTCGCATATTAGACTGTTAAAAGACACATGACATGGAGCAGGATTCTTTGTCAGCTGCAGATGAATGGCATCTCATTCCTTTATGTGGATATTGATGGATACATTCCCCAAACAAGGTAATAGCCTGACATTGTTGCTATAACTTTAGTCTCAACAACAACAGAATCATTTTTCTTTTTGCCGTGAAGTGTAATGAGACAGACAACATACACTAGATCGCACTTAGGGCGTGTGTGTGAAATATGATACAAGTTGGCAATCTATAAGGTGTCTAGATATAACAGTCATGCTATAAATTCACTAAGTATAAGCAGATCGTATGCATTTTATGAAGTTTCAAAATGCATACAAATATGATAATAAACTAATTATGATTATAAGACTAAATATAAAGACGTACATTGACTTCGTTATTTCAGTCCTAACATTTCGTACCACTGGCAGATGGTTAAACTTAAAATGTTTTCATTTGTTATCAAAATAATGCCATTTAATACAACATCCAGATTGACTAGTAGTGAACCTCACTACTCTCCCCATGTACTTAGTTAGCCTTACTTTCAAACAATGCTATTATATCAGGCTTCTCGCCAAATTCAAAGTCAAACTATTTCTTAAATCAAATTCTACATCCATTTACAGTAACATTTTTATAAAGTCAACATTACTATGAAATAAAAAATTTACATCAAAATCAGCATTTTTATCAAAGGGAATTTGTTTTTTTTATAAGAAACCAAATTATTCATCACAGTCTACATAACTTTACAACAAAAAAACCATAAGATTATCGAGTAAAAAAAGATGTCATCTTTGTTGATCAGTCTATACTTATACTACCAATTGCGCATGAGGGTGGCGCAGCAGAAGCAACGAACCAGTCATGAATTCTGGAATTTCATCCGGGTACTCCCGGGAGAAAAACAATAACAAAAGCAACAACCAGTCCACGGAAATTGCTCTGGATCAGTGGCCCTTTAAAGGTCACATGCAACGTAAAAGACGACTTTGCAGATTCTGATATCTTTCGGTATGGACCTACAGATACAAATCATCAAAAATACAAATTCAACTTATAAAGTTGAAAAATAACGCGATGAAAAAAACCCACTGCCCTGGGCTGCGCAAATAGCGCATGCTCAGTGAACAGGTTCGCATAGCTTTGAAGCGGGATGTCCGGATTATAAGGTGGTGAGCAAGAGTAGTCTAATCAAAACAAATAGTAAATAATCTACTCGTTACATAAAAGAACCTTGTTAGGATCTAGATGTACTCAGCTATATGTGTCAACCAGTGAGGCTTTCGGCAATTCAAGACGGAAACCTTCGCTGGCGGTGAGTACTCGGTGAAGGCTTTCATGTTAGCTATTTTTCTAATGTTTTGTTGATATTTCACAGGCACGAGCTTTTTATATGTTATGACAGTAGATTACCGATTTAACTGTTTATATAATTTCATTTGTCTATTTCACCACACGTTACCAATTCCGACAGCAAATCAGCCATTTCCGACCACATCGAAGCAAGCCCCAATCATCAAATAGAGTGGTCTGACATCACCTTTCTCGCTAACAAACAAACAAACAAACAAACAAACAGACTTCACTAAACGCAAGCTCACCGAAGCCATCCACATCAAACGCCAAAAGCCCACCATCAACCAAGGATACTTCATTCCATCCGCTTATGATGCACTCATCCACCAAGCCCAATCTACTGTGTAAACTCCGCTGTATAAACATCTCATTATTATTTGTACATCATTGGCTTCCACGCCTGTCCTTTGTCTACTCTCTGGCTTCATCAGCTTACTGTCTAGCCAATTATGTTAATTATGTTGTTTTCTTTGTTACATTCAGTATATATATACTTCCCTCTTCTTCATGTTCCATTTATGCTTGACAACGGTACAAGAATCTGTATCGAAACGTCGCACTCACGAATAAAAAGAAGTTGTTATCCATAAAGTTTGTTCTATATTACACTTGAGTGCACACCCACCCGCTCTGACTGGGGTATCTTCCCATAAGACAGACCTCCAAAAAGGCAGACCGCTAAAAACAACACATTTTATGTTTGGTTGCATACGGCTTAATTAAGCTGTACCTTTGATAATAATGGTATGTGCCCAGATAAAAAAGACAACATTAGGTATTAACTATAGTTTTATCAATTCATATAATCAATTATGATTTTTAAATTAAGACATATTGAATCAACATATAGGTACATCAACATATATTTGCCAGATCACATTTACTTGTGAATGTTATCAAAAAAATAAATAAATATACATGTATCTATCAAGCATATGAGACCAAGCACCATATCATTTTACAAACACATGTTTGTCAGTGGACAGATAAGACTTATTAGAAAGTCACTTGAACATCATCATTTTCTCCTTTCACCTTGTTCTTGGCATACAGGAAGACATCAAGAAGGGTGATCGGAAAAAAGTCATAGGAAAAGAAGTCATGGAAAAACGTCATGTGAAAAATAACTATTAGAAAACATCCTGTTCTCCAGTTATATACTTTGTTTATACTGAATTTTATAAATACTATTTCACTTCCTCATTGAGTCTGTCTTATGGGAGGTCTGTCTTTTGGGAGTGAACCCTGACTGGGTTCGGTATCCCGGGTGCTTCATTTCGAGGGAAGTAAACCCAAGTACAAAATATTGCACTTTTGATTTGCGATTGTACGCTTATAATTTGTTTATATGTTTTTTCATAATCAGCAATGTATATTATGTGTCATGAATAAGTGATAATTGTGTTTTAATTATGTTTCATTTTTTAGTTGCATGTGATCTTAAGTAGAGTCTGCCATGGGACAATTTCCAGTATCTACCTGTTTATTGATTCAGTAAGCAGTGTGGGACGTTATCACAGGGGGCATTCGACTGTACATGAAAACCGGATGTTGCACGTCTGTAACAACCCATTTTCCACTGTACAGTTTTTCAGGGACAACACAGACTTCACGTTCATGGTAATTACAGACACTATTTTGAATAGAACGGGCTTAAAGTTTGTGTGTCCGCAGATGAAGCTTTCTTATGCCCTAAACACTATATTTATGATGTGACATTCTTTCATCCTCTTTATCGGGATGATTTACTGTCGCCTTTTGGATTGCGTGATCGTGCCTTACGCAAAAATATCTAAATCTGTGAATCATAGTAATATAGATGGTTTATTTCATACCATTAGACCTTTTCTACGCAGGCACAATTAGGATTTTCTTATACAAATGCCCAGTGCATGTATTGTGAATGTTTCAAGCCTTTGTTTTGACTGAAACTACACTGTAGGCTGAAGGGTAGTTGCTACTCTCTCAGGCTGTGACTGCAGGGGTAGTTGCGCCTTTACTGAGTCCTCTGATAGGTATTCGGAAAAGGTCATTTCTCAAAGACTTGCATGTTTATTTGTGCCATAAATATATTATATGAGTTCCGGGTGGATATCGGTGAACTTTTGCAGGTAAATTTGAAGTTGAAGTCACAACTATGCACATGGTTAATATTCAATTATTTGACAACTTTTTTACTAATTACTAATGTACAGTCACGCCATATGCTATGTTTTGAACGCTCATTTAGTTAAAGTTAACATGCAGGTCTATGTGGAAGTATGTCTTGTCCAAATACTAAATACCCGTTTGAATGGATGTTGAGGCCCTAGACGAGTGTTGCATTTCCTTAAATTCGTCACACGTTGTCACAAGTACCTCTACTAAAGTTAAAAATATGACACTCCTATGCGATAGATGCGGGCGAAGCTTCAAAACTAAGTATGGCTTGAAACTTCACTCCGACAGCATCCACAAGAACATATGGAGATTCGAATGTTTTGTGGGGCGGTGGGGTAGGCCAGTGGTTAAAGCGTTGGCTCGTCACGTCGAAGACCCGGGTTCAATTCCCCACATGGGTACAATGTGTGAAGCCCATTTCTGGTGTCCCCCGCCGTGATATTGCTGCAATATTGCTAAAAGCGGCGTAAAACTAAACTCACTCACTCGAATGTTTTGTATGTAATAAGAAATTCAACCAACTGTGGAGTTACAAATTTCATGTGAATCAATATCATGGTGTAAGACCAGAGAAGTGTCCAAGTTGTAAGAAATCGTACTTCTCAAAAAAGGATCTTGCGCGTCATCGCGAGACCTGATCGGGTAAGGATAATTCCAGGGACTCTGATGTCGTCAGAGCGTCGTGGCAAAGGATTACATGTATGAACACAAGAGAAGCTACCACTATGTACAGGTGCCATACATGTAACAAGAACTCTAAAAGGCGATCCTCGCTACATCATCACGAGAACAACGTACACAATGAACAATGAACACCTGAACATTTACATAGAGATATCATGTATGTCCGATAGCCCAAATAAAGAGTCGTCTGCTTTATTCATGTCGGAGCAGTGGATATAGAGAGCCAAAGGCTCGCATAATATAAATTTTATTCCTAATATATGATATTAATGATACGGAAACACACGAGGTTAATAATCCTTTTATCATATAATGTCATTCTGAAAATTACTCTAAAAAAGATGGAAATCATACGTGAATTTATATGAAGAGAATCGAGCACTCGCCTAAGGATACTTAGCGGTACACCAAGGTTAAGGTCGTTCATGACGGCGGCATACGGTGCTTGATTTTTAGTAGCTAATATCAGTGTTGTAAACTCCCCAAAAGTTCAGCCAGACAACTGGTCTGGTAACTCTCAAAAGTTACCAGACCGGTTGGAAAGTTTCCAGTCCAGACTTTTCTGGATTAAGAAAACTAAAAAGAATGTAAATAATAAATAATAAAGTTAATATTTGTATAGCGCCTGTTCCAACATATTGCTCAAAGGCGCTTAGGCGAAGGCTGTGTTGAACAAGTGGGTTTTTAGTTGTCGTTTAAACTGGTCGAGATTGACAATGTTCTGAATGTGCCGAGGAAGACGGTTCCAGAGCCAGGGCCCGGCTTTGGAGAACGATCTATCTCCATAGTGTCTTTTCCTAGTCATAGGAACATCCAGTGCTCTTGATGGTCTTGACCTAAGCTCTCTCCCTGGAGTGTAGGTTGATAGGAGTTCACTGATATACTCAGGAGCTAGACCATGCAGCGATTTGAAAACAAACACCAGGATCTTGAACTGGATACGTTGTCTCACTGGCAGCCAATGGAGGTCTTGTAAGACCGGGGAGATGTGATCTCGACGTCTGGTGTTGGTGATCACTCTGGCTGCACTGTTGTGCACTCTCTGGAGTCTGGAGAGTGAGTATTCCGATGCCCCATACAATAGACTATTGCAGTAGTCCATGCGAGATGTGACAAACGCATTAACTAGAGTCTTGACTGCATCCGTACCAATATGCTTCTTGATCAAGCTGATGTTTCTTAGATGGTAGTAGCATGACCTGCATACAGCATCGATGTGTCGCTCAGATGACAAGGATGACTCAAAAACCACACCTAGATTCCTTGCTTGAGAACTGGGGTTAACATCACAGTCACCAAGTTTCAATGGTGGGAACTGAAAGTTTGAAAGCAAAGATTTGGATCCAAAGATAATAAGTTCTGTCTTGTCGGCGTTGAGTTGGAGAAAGTGCGTGGACATCCAGTGCTGGATCTCCTTGACACAATCTACGATGGTCGCCTGAGCATTAGCAACAGAGGATGGGTGGAAAGGTCGGAAACCCATGTAGATCTGGGAATCGTCGGCATATAGATGAAATCCCAGATTGTATTTTGGGAATCTTATGTAAATAAGAGGATGGAACTGTTTAATGTCAGGTTATTGTCACAATAACACATGTTTTCAAATCTGTTTCAGTCAAGGCTTTAGTCAAGGCTTTAGCAGTTTAGTCATCATATTCAAAGTCAGATTCGTCCAAATCTGAAAAAACAGAATCATAGTCTGAATCTGAAGGGGGTGCAGATTCAGAACTTCCCCCTGCACTAGGCACTTCTTCAGCTTGAGGTACTTCAACTTCACTCAAATGATGCTCTAGAGTATTCAGTGAAACTGAATTCCTGACCCGCTTTGACTTAGGCAAAAACTCTGGCCTTCTATGATGATATTTGTTCCACTTCTGTATAGAGTGTGTTGGGTCAAAGTCAACAACTGCCTTGGAGTGAAGTTGGATTATCATCAAGAGTGTCATTGATGAGCTGCTGAGTTTGTTTCTGTATTGAGACTTGGTCAGCTTCGTTTGTGAAAATTCCCTTTCGCATTCAGCACTGGAAGATGGTAGAGACAGAATCAAATCTATTACCTCCAGGATGTTAGGACACCTCTCTGTGTGAAGTTTGTTGATTGTGGCCCAATTCAAGTTAGCCTCATGGACCTGATCACTGAAAAATAATAATGCCCTAATAATGACTTTGTAATGTTAAATTCTAGACATTATAGGAATATGAGCTCTCGACAGAGTCAGATAATTACAATCAGTAATTACATGGTATCTGGCTATCAGCATAACTGATTTCCTAACCTTTTATACAAAGCCTGTTTCAGGGCTGTCCATTCTTCTTCAGCTGTAGCTAGGCCCACCCCTTTCCTCTCTAAGATGTCATGGAAGTGATCCAACAATTTCATGAGGCAATCATCACCAAAATCTGCAAACATAAATCACTTCAAAGTTTTTATTAATCCTGAACTGAAGTCATTTGTGTCATCCATATAATACTAATATCACTATTCTGCCTAATTACATCATGGAAAATCAGGTAATACTTCACAGTTTTCAATAATGGTAAAAACAAGTATATTTTTAAGTTATCCTGTTCAACACATAACAAGATACAAAAGTCAAAAGAAGATAATTATAATCTCAGATGGAAAAAAGCTGAACATTTTAAGATGTTTCCACCATACGTGTTACATAACATTTTTACACATCATCTTTAATATTTACTAGTAATAAATTTAGTCAGACAATATGCCAAATTGGAATTAAGTGAAGGGATAAAGTACATTAAGTAAAGATAAGACATAGTTGAGACACCTCATTGGTACTAAGTTTGGAATAAGTTCAATAACTATTAGAATTCATATCAGTACTGAACAACACACACACACCCTTAGCTGGTAGGCCAAGAGTTAAGATCAGCCAACTTGGTTGCACTGAAAATACCCTTGTCAAGATCATCAAATCTTCTCTGAAGGCAGCTGACCAGACCTTTAATTACTCTGGCTGACTGTGCATCATGTTCAGATGTATTTCCTGTCAAACTTTCACCTTCAAACGTGTCCGAGGAAGCAACTTTTCTCAGTTCAAATCCATCTCTGAAATGCCACCACCATATTCTAAGAGCTACTTGACAGAAGAACACAACAGGAAACAGACAGAGAATACAAGCAGGGTGTAGGATTAGAATAGATTTGAGATGCTGGTGTTTGAATGAACTAGATATTACTAATTATATGCATTCATATGGTCAGTACACAAAAGCAGAGACTAACTGTGTTTACAGAAAAGATAAGCCTTAGCAGGGAAAGGATTGCAAAGCCAGGTCGCTACAAACATACAAGTTAAAAGATTATATTTGGTCACTTGACATGCATACCTTTCCCCCAGCTTGTTCAGGTTGATAAGTGTAGTTTCAAGCTGTCTATGGACCTGGCAGACACACCCTTCTCGTTCCTGGAGTTGCTTGGAAAGGCGAGCCAAAACACTGAGCACATCTACAAGGAAGTGGGCAAAGAAGATAATACTCTTTGACTTCAACTTTTTGACGAAGTTCATCGCCTTAGACTGAGCTGCTGACTGGGAACGTATCTGAGCAACCTGAAACAGATATAAATATTTAAGTCAACTATCAGAGTACTACTGTCGTACTATAAATAAGTCTGATATTAGTATCATGATGATGTTTACAAAAAGGAACATTACTGTGAATGTGATACAACGCAAGTAAAGAAAAGACATTGTACTAACTTTCTTTGCTCAAGCATTTTTCAACAGATATCAAGCAAGAATGTTCAGTTTAGTGTACACATATATCTCAATGTATTCACAAAAACACATTCTGACAATTGTAATTGTATATCATGTGTACTATCTGATTATTAGTATATTACTATCTGTTACTTATGTGTACTATCAAGGTTGCTATAACTGTAAGTTACTATAAAAAGAGCCTTAATTGTTAAACTTTTATATGTATAGATTTACCTTGCTCAAATGAAAAACCAGGGCCCTGTATCCATCGCAAAACGTACCTTCAAACAAACTAAACGCCGGTCATGGAGGAAATATGTGTCAAAAATCAACTCCCGCACACCCATGTCCAAGGTGTGGAACATGATTCAAAAGATTAAGGGCAAAGGGTCAAAATCAGGAGTTCACCACCTGAAAGATGGTGACTCCCTCCTAACAAATAAATCTGAAATTGCAAACAAACTTGGCGAAACTTTGGCAAACCACTCCTCATCAAATTATAACCCTCAGTTCCAGAAGTACCAAACCCAACAAGAAAAGAAACCAGTCAATTTTAACTCTGATAATGGGGAGGATTACAACGAAACGTTTTCCCTCCATGAATTACGTACTGCCCTAGGAGAGGCTCACGACACTGCGGCAGGAGCTGATGAAATCCATTATCAGCTTCTGAAACACCTCCCTGACACAGGCTTGGAAACACTCCTAAATATATTTGATGACATCTGGACATCCGGACACTTCCCCCCTTCGTGGCACAATGCCATTATCATCCCTATACCAAAACCCGGTCGCGATCATACTGATCCATCAAACTACCGTCCTATATCCCTAACTAGCTGCGTTTGCAAAACCATGGAGCGCATGGTCAACAATCGATTAATCTGGTACTTGGAGACCAATAACCTCCTCAGTGACCTCCAATGTGGTTTCCGAAAAAACCGAAGTACCATTGACCATCTGGTGCGTCTCGAATCATTCATCAAAAACTCCATTGTCAACAAACAACATACCGTATCTATCTTTTTCGACTTAGAAAAAGCATATGATACAACGTCGAAACATGGTATCCTAAAAGATTTACACGAGTTTGGATTGAGGGGTAGACTACCTCAATTCATATCTCAGTTTTTAAATAACAGACAATTTCAAGTTCGGGTGGGTTCCACGCTGTCTGACTATTTCCACCAAGATCAGGGCGTCCCCCAAGGCAGCATCCTGTCTGTCACACTTTTTAGCATCAAAATTAACAACCTCACTAACGTTCTGAACAGTTGCGTTGATGGGTCCCTTTTCGTGGATGACTTCAATATTTCATGTCGTGGTAAGAACATGCACGCAATAGAAAGGCAGCTACAACTCTGCCTTAACAAAATCCAAAAATGGGCCAATGAAAATGGTTTTAAGTTTTCAAACTCCAAAACAAATTGTATTCACTTTTGTCGTAAATACAAACCACACAAGGATCCAGACCTAACTTTAGATGGTACTCCCATCAAGGTAGTAGAAGAGGCCAAATTCCTTGGACTCATATTCGACCGCCACCTGACATTCTTACCACACATAAAATATTTGAAAACAAAGTGCTTAAAGGCTCTAGACTTGCTAAAAGTAGTCTCAAATACAGAGTGGGGAGGGGATAAGACCACCCTCCTTCACTTGTACAGATCATTAGTTCGCAGTAAACTAGATTATGGCTCCATTGTCTACGGTGGAGCCTGCAAAAGCAATTTAGAAAAATTAGACTCTATCCACCACCAAGGGCTGAGGCTCTGCCTGGGAGCTTTTAGGACCTCTCCGGTAGACAGTCTATATGCGGAGGCCAACGAACCTTCCCTTGAACAACGCCGCATTAAACTCTCAGTATATCACTAAACTGCAGTATATCACTAAATTACGTTCAAATGAGTCCAATCCAGCATACAATTGTGTTTTCAACCCGCTCTATGAAAACTTATTTCCTAAACTGCCAAGCTTGGTTCCACCACTTGGAATCAGGATCAAACCACACATACCTGCAGCTAAAATTGATCTCAACATCATTGCACCATACCGACTTCTGTCCTCACCACCATGGCAAATGGTGAAACCACAGATCGATCTTACCCTCACCAAACTCAAAAAGTCTGAAACAAATCCCTTGGTGTTCCAACAGGAATACAACCAGTTACGTTCGAAGTATAACACTCACAGATCCATTTTCACAGACGGATCCAAGGACGATGGCCAAGTTGCCAGCGCTACAGTCATTGGAGCCAAGACTGCCTCCTCTAGGATCCCCGACAACAGTTCCATTTTCACCGCTGAAGCCAAAGCTATCTTCTCAGCTTCTCACCTACATCCAACAGCAAAATCAGTCCAAAAACTTCATCGTTTTTACAGATTCACTATCCTGCCTTCAAGCACTTCTAAACGTGACTTCAAGTCACCCAATCATCCTGGACATACTAGAACTGTACAACGACCTTTCTACTGGCCAATATGACATCGTCCTCTGCTGGTTGCCGGGTCACGTCGGCATAGCAGGTAACACTAAGGCCGATGCTGCAGCAAAAGCAGCTCTTGAAAAGCCCCTATCTCCACTGCTAATCCCGTACAGTGATTTCAAACCCACTATCAAAAGCTATACTCGGGACCTGATGCAAAAAAAGGTGGGACACTCAAGTAGGAAGAAACAAACTCCATGAATTGAAGCCAACAATCGGTTATACCTACTTGGGTTGCCAGTCAAGACGTGATGAAGTAATTTTACGACGATGTCGTATTGGCCACAGTCGGTTTACACATGACTATCTGCTAAAAACGGATGGGGATGGAACCCCCATATGTCTCTCCTGCGATGAGGCTTTCACCGTCAAGCATATTCTGCTTGACTGTGTGGATTTTTACATCTGCAAGGGACTCGCATTATCACGCAACCAATCTGAAAGATCTGTTCTCCAGCGTGAGCGCTCATCTGATACTGAACTACCTGAGGGAAGTTGATCTATATCATAAAATGTAACTGTGTAATGTCACTAACGAATTTACCTGCTTTTCAATTTAATGCTATGACATTCTCTGTTCTAAAATGACAACGTAATGAATGTATGTCTTTGAAACGAAACCACTTTGTACTTACAATGTATATTAATGCAGACTTGTTCTCGTCACTATATGGCTGGAATAATGCCGATGTGACGTAAAGCCCAACTCAACTCAACTCTTTCAAGCCCAGTTCAACACGGTGTGCCATGCACTGAATCATCAAAATAGACGGATTGATCCTGCCTTGAAATAATGCAATGACACCATTCAGTTAACCAGTATTTACTGATGCTCCATCTCCAGCAAAGCCGACAATTTTTTCCTGTATCTCCTCAGTTGAGAGTTTGTTGAGAGTTTGTTTAAATGGAAAGATTCCATTATTGCCGAGTAAATTCCACTAGCATTGGCACATTCAGTCTCCATCATCCCTAGGAAATAACAGTGACATGCTCCTTGTCTGGCAAAGTGGACATAAACCACCTCGTTCTCAACACCCGAGACATCTGTTGATCAATCAGACATGATGGTACAGTAATTCGTCTGAGCCAACTCATCTTCAATTTTCTGGCGCTCAACCTCAGCTATTGAAAGCATGAACTCCTTGCATGACGTACGGTTTCTGTAGGTCCTAGATCCACACCCAGCTTCTCTTCCAAACAACACATCCACTCATAATCCGAAATGGGCCTTGAATTTTTAGCAATGCTATGTGCAACTCTGAAAAGTTTCTCTAGTCTTTCGAAAACGTCACTATTTAAAGTTTGAAGACTTTTTTCCGCTGGGCTGAATTCTGCATTGTGTGACTTTTCATTTTGACATGCAAAATTGTGTCCGTCCGATATTTCATGCGTGACAAGAGAATCACGTCTTAAATTACTGGAACCTACAACAAAAGGTCCTGATGCATACTTATGAAACTTATCTGTTAGTTTCCTGGTACTGAGTGGGCCGTATACCGATCTACATGTTTTACAATATATTCTTTCGTGAACCTCGTCGGTTAAAACCATGGAAAATCTGTCTTCCACGAAGAAACAATTGAACGTTTCCTTTTTCTTTCCATACTCTTTATCTTTCTTAGCTTGAGTCTTGCGTTTGTGGGCATCTGGAAGTCCTAAAAATTGTCGCAGCATGATATAAAAGGTCAAGCTGATAATCAAACAATAAGGAAAGCATGCCATTGCCTGGACGTCGCCATGCTGTAAACTTCAACCAGAGCTCCTTACACCGATATAGGCATCGCATGTCAGGTCTAGCTCTGATCGGATAATTTCAATCACTTGGCCAATGACGAATGAGGACAGAAACACGATTTTTATGTCAGGGAAGAAACTTTGATCTTAATTGGTTAGGTTACATTACAAAATTACACTGATTAAACAGCCAGACAATCGGGCGTGCAACCTCTTAAAACTGACCGTCCGGTCGCAAAACAGACCGCCCCGGACGGTCGGGCAGGCGGGAGTTTGCAATGCTGCTAATATATGCTTAAACTAAGATCTTTCCACCTAAAAAGAACAGTCAAACCGGGCAGGGCTTTGTTGGCAGTGTTTCTATTTCATTGCGGGTAATCACCTCTTCAATATCAGTTTCTGATACTTGACGCAACCAATTGGTGGTCTACTTGGTTGTGATCGATAGATCGAATAGATCCTTGGTTGGTACCT